GGGGGGGGGGAGCAGCTCCCGCGTGAGGAGGGGCTGCGACAACGGGGGCTGCTCGGCTGGGGAGGAAGGGGAGGCATGAGAGGGGCTTCAAATCATGCATTTTTCTCCTGCCCCATAACACCTGAACCCGGGGTCATCCCGTGAAGCGGCCTGGGGGGAGGCCTGGGGCAGATACAAGGAAGTCCTTCCTCACACAACGTGAGCTGGAATTCGCTGCCACGGGGAGCGGTGAAGGCTGCCCATCTGGGCGGCTTTGCAAGGGTGGGCGGGCTCGTGAGGGAGGGGCTACCGGGGCCACTAGCCCTGCTGGGCCCGTGCCCCCCCTTCCCCAGAGGCGGCCCGCCAGCACACGCCAGTGGCCGAGGGGCTTGGGCGGGGGAGGCCTTGCCCGTCCTGCTGGAGGGGTCTGGGGGCAGCCGGTTTGCCTCCGTGTGCGCGGAGGGCCGGGCTGGGTGGGCCTTCGGCCCTGATCCGGTGGGGCTGAGAGCGCGCCCTTGTCATCCAGAGCCTGCTCTCGTGTTGCGTGTGCGGACTGAGTCAGTCAGTCCACCGGACGCAGGTGCTTGATCCACCGACAAGCCCGAACAGAGTGGCCACCGCAGCCGCCAGTACACACCACGAGGCAGTGGCGTGCGGCCGGTCCCTCCCTCCCTCCCTCCCTCCCTCCCTTAAGTGGGCACCACTTGCAAGGCCCACCACGGGGGGCTCGGCTCGGGGGCTCCTCGCTGGGGCAGAGGAGGAGGCCGAGACCGGGCAGCTCATGGCCACCGGGCTCACAGGCCCCTCCCTGCACGGGCCACACCGGGCTGGCTGGAGGCAAAGGGCACTGGCCCCCACCTCCCTCGCGGGGCCAGTCTGGGCCCTGCTTGCCCGCCTGCACCTCGTGCTCCAGGTGCTCGCGGGCCGTAGAGGCATGGCGAGTCGGAAGGGCCCCCCGGGCCATCTGGTCAGACCCCTGGCTGCAGCCGCTCAGCTCCTGCGATCCCCAGCATGTGGGTGTCCAACCTTTCCTTGAACGCCCCACCCGGAAGTCCCCCCGAGCAGTGGCGGGGAAGTAGCGGCTCGCTTCCTCTGGGGCCCAGTCCCCACAGGCAGCCGCTGAGTCCTGCCCGGGCCTCTGTTGGCCGGGACGCTGGCTGAGACCTGCAGGGGGTCACGGGGACCCCGGTGGAGGGCAGCCGTTCCGCCTCTTCTGTCTTGCCGGAGCCAAGTGGGTCGCCCCCGAGGCCTGCAAGGTGGGAGAGACAAGCCGGGAAGGGAAGGGTTCTCCACACAGCACCTCTTTGGGCTGTGTGTGCCGCTGCCGCAAGGCGCAGGGCCCGCTGCTCTGGGGGCTCTGAAGGGGCAGGCAAGTTCCTGGAGCGGGGAGGCCACTGCCTGCGGGCCGCATGCTGCACCAGGCCCGGAGGCAGACCCCGGAGCAGCTGGGGCGGGGGGCGCCGCAGCCCCCCGCCCCGTTGTGGCCTTCTCGGCGGGGCAGCTGAGTCGGCCCTGGCGGGTGGAGGTCGGCCGGGCAGCTTTGGCCCTGCGGCAGCCCCTGCTTCCGGCAGAGTCGGCAGCACGGCCCGGGGAGGCCGGGTGGGCCCGGGAGGGGGGCCTGGCGCCGCAGGCACACGGGGCCCCTCGCGGCCTCTGGAGGGGTGGGTGCGGGCACGGCCCCCGGCCTCGGGCCGAGCCCCCAGCCTGTTCCGCTCTGGCACGTCCCTCGCAGCTCGTGCAGAACCCCTACCAGTTCGACGTCCTGGTGATGCCCAACCTGTACGGCAACATCATCGACAACCTGGCGGCCGGCCTGGTGGGGGGAGCCGGCGTGGTCCCCGGCGAGAGCTACAGCGCCGAGTACGCCGTCTTCGAGATGGTAAGGGCCCCGGGGCGGGCTCTGGCGGCCCCCCGCCCTGCGGCGCAGGGAGCCGGGCCGGGCGACGCGCTGAGGCGCTCCTCTCCGCTCTCCTCCTCTCGCCAGGGGGCGCGTCACCCGTTCGCCCAAGCCGTGGGGAGGAACATCGCCAACCCCACCGCCATGCTGCTCTCCTCCGCCAACCTGCTGCGGCACCTCAAGTGAGCGTCCCCCCCCCCTGGGCCGGGCGGGCCCCCTCCCTGCGCGGGCTCCCTGGGCGGATCGGGCCCGCCTCGGCGCCCCGGGGCCTCCCGCCGGGCTGCAGCCGCCCCGCCAAGCGTGTCTCTCCTGTGCTTCCGAGCAGCTTGGAGTACCACTCGGCCATGATCCGGGATGCCGTGCGGAAGGTGATCAAAGCCGGGAAGGTGAGCGTCGCCCCCCGGGGCTTCCCGCCTCGCTCTGCCCTGCCGCGCGGTCTTGCTTCCTGTCAGCCCCCGCTGGGTCTGCCCCCTTCCCCGTCTGGTCCCGCTGGCGAGGGCAGAGCGAGCGGGAGGGGCCCTGGCAGCCTCTCGCCTGTCTTCTCTGCCCCCCCCCCCCGCACTTCTGCAGAGCTCCAGAGGGCGCTCTCGGCCCGTGCCAGGGAATGCGCGCCTGCGTGCCTTTCCGGGAGCTGTCGCCGGGCTGGCACTCCTCCTCCAACTCCTCCTCCTCCTCCCTCTCTCTCGTCGCTGGGCTCCTTCGGCCCCTGTGCTCACAGCCCCTTTTCTCCTCCCCCCCTGTGTTGGATTGTAGGTGCGGACGCAGGACATGGGCGGTTACTCTACCACCTCTGACTTCGTCAAGTCTGTGATCGATCACCTGCACCCGCACTATGGCGTCTAGGGCTCGGGCTGCCCCGGGCAGGACCCTGCACCCTCCCCGCCCCCTCCCCGCCACACACCTCCGGCCCGCAAGAGCCGTCTCGGCTGCCCGTCCTGGCAGATCCTGGCTCACGCCACTGCCTGTCCCACACCGGAAGCCGGCTAGCCCAGCCCCCGTGGCGGGAGCAGGTCTTCCTCACACCCATGCCCACCCCGGGCCCTCCGCCCGGACCCTCCGAAAGGGCTGCCGTGGAGGCCGGGCCCTGGGCCTGAGGCCGGGGGACTCCCGGCTCCTTGAGCCTGGAAGCGGCTGCAGCCGCTTCGTGCCCAGCCTGGTCCTTCGCAGGCTGGCAGCTTTGCTCGTGGGCACAGCGGCACGAGGGGTGTGAGGCTGGGGCTGTGCAGGGCGCCCTGCCGGCTCCCCTCCCCTGCCCTCACGGCTCTCGGCTGGCAGCAGCAGGCACCCCGCAGCCCAGGCTCCTCAAGCGTGGCGCATGCGCACGCCCGGCAGGCTCCCCCTCAGCAGAGCTGAGCCGCCCCCTTTGCGGGAAGCGCTCTGTGGCCCCCCTCCTGCGCACGTGTCCCCGGGGAGAGCCCTTTCCTTGGCTCCTGCCGTCCTGAGGGACAGGCGGGACTCGAAGCAGACAGGAAGGGCTTCTGCAGCACCCACGATCCTTTGCAGCTGGAAGCGCCCCGTTGCAAATGGAGGCCGTGCGGAGCAGTCAGTCAGTCACCTGCCTGAGGAATGTGCCTTGGTGGGCGTGCAGAGCGCCTAGGGGGGCTTGTCCTGGCCTCAGGCAGGCCTCGGCTTCCGGAGCAGAGGCTGCTGGCTGCTCTGTGTGTGTGTGAGTGTGAGCGAGAGCGCGAGTGAGTCCAAGAACTGGGGTGGGCAGAACATTGTAAGTAATCCTTTCCAATCATGACCCATACTAATTTTGAATAAACTTGTAAGTCGGCTCCCTGCAGATTGTGCTCCCTCTCTGGTCACAGGTGCCCGGCTCCTGGGGCTCCCTCCTCTTTCGTGTGGAGGGAAGACCCGCTGGGGCCCCCCAACACGAAGCTCTGTGCCGGAGCAGCGCCCGGCGGGGGTGGCCTCCCGGGCGGGTGCAGCGGCGATGGTCGGCGCTGGCCGCGGTGCCAAGCAGCAGCCTTCCAGCGGCCGGCAGAGCAGCCTCCTCGTGGGGCGGGCTGTGAGGAGCTGGCCTGACCCCCCCCACACACACACATGCAGCCGTTGCCTGGGGGCCTTCAGCCCGGCACTCTGGATCGCCCCGATGCCGCATTTGGCCTGAAAGCCCGGCCCCGCAGCTTCCCTCAGCCCCTGGTGGTTGAGTCTGGCTGGGCTTGCGGAGGGCCAGCCTGCGCGCTCCAGAACCTGCGAGGAAGCAGCCCGCTCGGTCCCTCTCCCGGCCCCCGGGCGCTGGCCGTGCGCCCCCGGCACTCCTGGCAGCGGCCTGCCCGCCGGGCTGTTGGGCACCTGCCAGACAGGACGGCCCGTCCGAAAGCAGCCGCCGCCACGGGGTGTCTTTCCAAGCTCTGGGAGGGTTTTCCGAGGGCTTCGCCCTGCCACGCTTTCCCGGCCAGGCCCGTGGGAGTGGCGAGCACGCCTCTCTTCATCGCTTTTCCACGTGTGGATGCTCCAGGGGCACCTTCCGCCTCCTCTTTGCTGGAGCGGAAGTGGGAATAAAGGGGGCGGTGAGCGAGGAGCTGTGGCGGCTCAGCCCTTCCTGCTGCTGCCCGTCCTGCTGGCTCGAATGATCCGCTTGGTCTGATGTTTCCGGAGCGGCAAGAGGCGAGCAAACGCCTTGGAGCCCCACCTGCTCGGCTAAGCTAAGAAAAGAGCCCTCGGGAGGCGAGCAAAGCAGAACAGCTGCTGTCCTCCTAAATAGCTGGCAAAAGCCACACTTGAGTCTGGATTTGAATTGTACACGGAGTCATCTCGCTGCACGGCCCTCTTGTCTCCTCCAGGCCCCTGTGGGCATTTTTGGCGCTTCGGCTCCAAGTCTTGCTCCAGCAGGGCTGGTGGTCGTGGGGGGCTGAGCCTGGCAGTGGGGATGGGAAGGCCGGCCCCGGCTTGGCCCCACGCAGCTGCAGCCGGGCCTGGCGAGGGCGTGCCGGAGCGCAGAGGCGAGGGGACGGCCGAGGAGTCGGGCCAGCTCCAACTCCGGTGCTTCCCCCCTCCCTCGCTGCCCCTCCCCAGCACCCAGTGCAGCTGGCCAAATGCATGTCCAGGGAAACCGGCGATTGCAGAGTGCTGCAGCCGGAGACATTGCCATGCCTTGCGCTGGGCAGAGGATGCGAGCAGCCTCCCCCCCCCCGTGGCGGAGGCCAGTGTGCACGCGGCTGCCACACCTTGCGCTGCACGCCGGAACACCTTGCGCAGCGGGTGTCCCTTCACTTGGTGCTGGGGGAGCCGGGAGGCTGCCCCAAAGGCCCCTGCTGAGGAGGCGCCCACTGCAGGCCGCCACTGCGCATGCAAGGGCGCCCGGAGACGGGCCTCGAGGTGGCCCAGAGCGGGAGGCCCCACTGGCGCCCAGGCCTGACGTCACGCAGGGCCCGTGGCGCTGAGCTCGGAGGAGTGGCGCTCGGCGCCAGTGGCCAGCCTGTGTGCAGGATGCTCCCCTGGGCTTGGCCACAGCTCGTTTATGTTCTGTATTATTTGAAATTCTTCCTTTTGTCCCGTGTGCACGCATCTGATGCTTTTGCCTCAGCTCTTGGCCAGAGCCATGACTCGGGGCGCGCTTCCAGTGCGCTGCGCTGCGCTCGCGACCTGCGTCCAGGAGGGCCGGGACCGCAGCCCTCCGGCCAAGGGGCGGGTGGCCCCTCGTGCTGTGGAGCAGGGGTGGGCAGCAGAGCAGCCGCTTGCCCAGCTGGTCTGCAGCTCCCGCCCCCGCCCCCAACAGTGCTCGCAACCCCGCGAAAAGCAGCCTGGCTTCCGGGAGAACAAGCCACACTTCCCAGCCGAGGGCAAGGCTTGGTTGTTCCGAGCAGGAGAACTGCCAGCCACCCACCCAACTGGTGCGGAACGGTGTGGCCCGCATTGGCGCAGCGGCCTGCTTCCAGCTCGGGCAGCCCCCTCCCCAGCCCGCCTCATCGTCTGCTGGGCAGTCCAGCCAGGCTCGGTGGTGGTTGGCGGGACGGCGGGGATGCTGATCCGCCACAGGCCTTGCCATGCAATTCAGGAAGCAAGCCATTTTTGGCAACGCTGCGAGTTTCCACTTTCAGAGAGCTAATGAAGCTAAACGTGGAGAGAGCAGTCCGTGCGCTTCCGAACTGCATTGGCTCGGAACTGGAAGGTGTTCGCCTGCTGTACTTCTCTTTTCCTTCTGTCTGCAGGTGCGGACGCCAGACATGGGCGGTTACGCCACTTCCCACGACTTCACTCGTGCCGTGATTGCAGCCCTCGTGGAGTAGGGCAAACCGCCGAAGGCTCCAGGGCGGGGGGGGGGGGGGGGGGGGGGGGGGGGGCGGAGTGCATGTGGGGACCGACTCAGGGCCTCTCGCTTTTGCCGCCTAACTTGTGAGCCGAAGCTCTTCCGGGGAGCCGCTCTGCTGTGTCGCACTATTAAAAAGCAAGCTGCTGGTTGTGCCGTGGGCTGTGTGCGCGCAAGAGCCCTTCCCCCACCAAGCACGTGCTCCGGGAGGAAGCACCACGTCCATCTCCACATTTCCTCAAGGGAGCACCTGGGACTGGCACATGAGCCGCGCTCCCCCCCCCCCAGCAGCCATTCTGGGCGTTCCCAAACGGTGGCGTGGGAAGGTGCCCAGGCAGCAGGGGCAGTTTCCAGGCATGCTCCAGCTCCGGCGGCTGCAGGCCAAGGGGCTGAGCCAGATGATGCTCCCGCACATGTGCAGACCAGTTCATGCGCGCGATGGGGCCTCTTTCCGGTCCTCATGGGCAGCTGCAGCCCCCGCAGCACGAAAGGGGCATCCCGGCTTGCCTGGGGGCCAGATTCCTGTGCCAGAGGCAGTTCCTCCCCACCAAGACATAACAGCAGTGCTGCTGCTCTCCCTCCCTCCCTCCCTCCCTCCCACGTGTCGCTCAGCCATTCCCGCCACAGTAAGAAGTAGAAGATACTTGGGAAAAAAGCTCATTTTATTGTATCAGCAGTTTGAGTACACAAAATGGCAGGCTGACAAGCTCCGGCTTCTGCTGGAGACGCAGGCACTGGGCGGGCAGCCACTTCAGCGCCCTGCCCGTTCTCTCCTCCGCAGGGCGCTGGCAGACGAGCGCCTCCCGCCTCGGGGCAGGCACAGAAGGCCCCCTGCCCACCCCGCCGGCATTTCTGCCCTTCCGCGAGGGGCCCGAGAGCCCTGCCAGGGTCCGGGCAGCGGCTCGGGCCTTCCAGGCTGGCCGGGTACATTCACTTGCCTTGAGAGTGCCGGGCGCGGAGCCGAGGGCCGCCAGCCGGAGGAAAGCCGCGCAGGGAGCCAGCCTACTTCGGCCGGCTGCTGGGGGGCGAGCGGCTCGCCCACTAATCCTCCATCAGGGCCTTGCTCTTTTTTGTCCGTTTCACCTTCGGTGGTGGCGGCTCCACAGCGGCCAGCTTCTTCTTCTTCTTCTTCCTGGGCGAGGCTGCTTCTTCCTCCAGGCCGTTCTCGGCCGGCTCCAGCTCCTCCTCCTTCACTTCCTCGCGCTTTCGCTTCTTCCTCTTGGGCTCGGCCTCGGTTTCCTGGGGTGCAAGGGCGTCTGCGTGAGCACGCGCTTTGCCTTGCCATGGGCTCGGCTAGGAGTGGCCATGGCATCCACAAAGACCAACATGCTTCCAATCCCTTCCCATCTGCCTTTCACACCAAAACCTTGAAAAGCTGCCAAACAACCCCCTTCGCTCCCACCCTGAACTGCTGCAAGAAGCGTTACCGTGGCCTCTGCCACGGAGTTTTCCGCCGCCTCGGCTGCCGCCAGTGCCTCCAGGCGCTGCTTCTCCCGCTTCCGCCTTTTCTTCTCTTTCTTCTCCAGCTTCCTTTTGATTTCGGCAGCCACTTCTGTCGCCTGCGGAGAGGTGAGCCTCGGTCAGTGCTGGCGTGGCCCCCGCCGGCTTGGCTCCCGCCAGCCACTTGCAGGATCAGGCTCATTAAATCAGCTTTGGCCTCCACAGCTGGACGCGTCAGGCACAAAAGCGCTCATCACCTCCGGCACCGGCACACGTCCGCCCCAAGGGGCAGGGCCACCCTGTCCCATGCGCCCCGGCACACACCTCCACCACCGCCTCCTTCATGACGTCCAGGTTCTTGCGCGGCGGCTCCCCGGTCTCATAAAAGGCCAGGCGCTCCTCTACCTGCTCCCGCAGCTTGTCTCCGAAGACCGCCGTGGGGACCTCTGCAGAGGAGGAGCAGCAAGCAAAGCTCAGGGCCCTGTGCTGGGGAGGGGGCCGCAAGCCGCCCTCTGCTTGTGCGCGGCAGCTCTGCTCAGCTCTGAGGCATCAACATTCACTAGGTGAAATGCTGCTGACGAAAAATGTACCCATCACGGCAGGCCGCATCATGCCCCCCACGCCCCCAGGAGCCCCGAGGCCGGCCTGGCCGCAGCCAGACCCTCACCCGAGAAGCAGTCGATGCGGGAGGCGATGGTGCACTTGTTGGCCAGGTAGCGGGAGATGCGCCCCTTGTTCTTGGCGGCTGCCCTCCCGATGAAGGTGGAGTGGAATATCAGGCCGTACTTGGGAGTGTTGCCCCGGGTCTTCAGGGCCCTGCGGGGTGGGAAGGGCAAGAGTTGCTAACGGTGTGCCCAGGGGCAGGGGCAGTCCGTGGCCACAGCCGCCAGCAAGGCCCCCAGCTCCCCCCGTCCCAGCCCAAACCACAGTCAGCTAACCTGTGAGGTCAAGGGGGAACGGAAATGCGCTGGGCGGCTGCTCAGAGACCGGGGGCCGGTCTGTCACGTGAGTGGCCAGGCCAGGCGGTCCTGGCCCCTCGTCAAGCATGGCACCCCGAGGATCGCCATCACTGCAGCCGCCCCACAGCTGTACCTGAAGAGGGCCTTTTCTGCACCCAGGATCTGCACCGTGGAGGCCGGATACTTGGCCAGATTGGTGAGGCTGCCGGCATGCGAGATCAGGCGGGCACCCACCTGCGGGGAAGGCAAGGCGGTTATGCAGGGCGGGCAAAGCACCCAGCCACGCCGTGGCCTGCCCTGGAGTCTGGCTGCACGCCCAGCCACCTGGCAGCGGTGCCACTGACGGGCCTCGCCACTGCGGGGGCTGCCTGCTGCTGGGCATGCTGCACACGAGCCCCCCACCCCCCAGCCAGAAACGGGAACCCGCACGGGCCAGCAGGCCTGGGGCTGATGGAGCGGCTTGGTGCTGCCTTTGCAGGCAGCGTGAAGCGGCCCCGGCCCTCCCTGGCACGGATCAGCGGTGAGTGGCTGTCAGCAAAGAGAGCTCAGTGGATTGACAGATTCACAGAGTACATCATTTCTCTTGCCAGGGAGGACTCGAATGCCCCACCCACCCCCCACAAGCCCGGCCCCCGTCTCTTACGCACCACTTCTCCGATCAGGGCGGAGAGGCTGGGGGCCACCTGGCTCATCTTGGAGCGGAGATACTCCTGCAGGCTCTTCCGGTACTCGGAGAGAGAGATCACGCGGCTGGAGAAGCTCTCGATGTTGATGAGGTCAATGGGAGAAATGTCCATACCTGCAACGGAACAGGCAGAATAGAGCAGCAGCACCGGGACGGGGGAGGCCCTCGGATCAGGCCAGCAGATCGCCACGGGCCTGGACGCAGCAATGGCCGAGGACAACCGGGAGGAGCAGCTCTGAGGCCACCTCAGCGTCATTTCCCCAGGCGGCTTTAAGCCCCTAACCTGCACTCCACTCAGTTCAGTCTCCCGGGGAAGAAGCCACACAAAGGTTTAAAGAGAGAGGCCTAAGCGAGGATGTGATCACCCCGGGCCAGGAAGGCCAATCAAATCACACACAGACACTGTGCCTCCAAACCCTCCCCTTTGCTATCCCGTGCTCCCTGCCACGGGCCGCAGCCAAATTAGCATACTCTCCCCCACCCCTCTGGGTGCCACTGGGCGACCCGGTGCTGTGCTTGTTTTCTCCATCTTCCCTTCCTGGCAGTGCTACTGACCCATGGAGGAGCGGGAGGCCTCCAGGATCGCCTGGGCCTTGGCGCTGTCCATGACAACCTCTTCCAGCCCCTCCAGGCTCTCCTCGCTCAGCTCCTTCCGGTTGCCAATGAGCTTGGCCAGGCGGCAGTAGGTATAGTTGTCAGTCACGATCTTGATCAGCTCCGGGAAGTGATACCCGTACCACTCTCTGCAGCAGAAAGACTGTGGCGTTAGAAGGCAAAGAGCATCCTCTCCTCACGCCCCGAGAGAGGAAGGGTGCACCCCTCTCCACCAGGGACTGGCTCAGCTCGGTATTTCCAAAGCCGAGGTACTGCTAGAACCCTTCCCCACAGGCAACGGTTTTGTGGCCCTGCCAACAATACAGTCCAGGGGAAGACAGCCTGGCTGAGGTGCACGCAGGGCCGCTGTTTCTCTATCTCCCACTTCTGTACAGACAGCGTTTGCAAGCGAGCTGCCTGTGGTAAGCATGGGGAGACACGGGCAGCGCCGGTGGGCAGCCTCAAGGCAAGGCGATGTACGCACCGGACCCGCATGGAGAAGGTGTTGATGTCTTTATCGAGCTGGTCCAAGAGGCTGATGGACTGTATGATCATGTTATCCACCCGGTTCACGTTGAACTTTACTTTGGCTCGGGAGTAGCTGTGCCCGAGTCCCAGCTGGGCTTTGGAGGCAGACTGAGCTGTTAAACCCTTAACCAAGCTGTGGAAGTGCAGCCGGATACCTACAGGGAGCCCAGAAAAGCAAAAATGGGATGGCTTACAGTCAAGAGGAGACGCCACTTCCCCGGCCCTGCCTCAGTTATCCTCACGGGGTCGGAGTCCCCAGGAGTTCCGCATAGCCTTTGTGCTCACACACGAAAGGAACGGGCCGTCCCGTACCATCCCCGCCTGCCCAGGCTTCCCTACCTCGGGTGATCTCGGCGACCACGCCGCCCGTCTGGCACTGGTAGCCCAGCTCTTCCTGGACGGCAGCCCCGATTTTGGCATCGCTGACCCCAACAAGGACTTTCTTCTTCTTGGCCGGCAAGTTGGTCTCCAGGAAGAGGCGGAGGTCCTCGTGCAGGATCCCTGAGCCCGGCGAGAAGAGCGCCGCCGTCAGCGCGCGTCGCGGCCCGCCACCCTTTCCCACGTGCCCCGCCCCGGCCCACGTGGCCCACCTTCCGAGACCGCGTTGATGTTCTCCAAGGCGCTCTGCGCGGACTTGAACGGGAAGAAGGCGACCAGCTTGACCACGGACAGGAACTTGCCGAGGTTCAGCACGCTCTGCTCCACCTGCAGAACCACCGGGCGCGCCGCCACTTACTGCATGGAACCGCCGCCGCCATTAAGCCCGCGCCCGCGCCCCCTTCACCGACTCCCCGCGCGATCCTCGGCCAGGAGCCCGCGCGGGCCCGGCGGCGCCGGCGGATCCCGCGGCCCGGCGCCGGGGCGGGGCGCCGCTCACCTGAGGCAGCAGCAGCCCGACCTCCTCCACCTGCTTGAGGGCGAAGAGCGCGTAGCCGGCCGCGTGCTCGAAGAGGACGTGCAGCAGCACCTGCGGGCAAGCGAGAGGCGCGTGAGCGGCGGGGGCGCGTGAGCGGGCGCGGCGGGCGGGGCCGAGCGGCCGCCGGCGGGGCTCACCATGGCTGCGGCGCGGCTCCCGCGCAGGCCTCGCGCTCCCGCCGCCACGCGCGACCAGCCGGAACTGCCTGCGGAAGGGGCGGGCCCGCCGTCGGCGCGCGCGGCCCGCCCCTTCCGCCCTGCCCGCGCCGCGCTGGTGCGCACGCGCGGCTCCCCCTCGGCGTCCCGGGCGTGACTTCCCCTCCCGCCCGGCGCGCTGGTGCGCACGCGCGGCTCCCCCTCGGCGTCCCGGGCGTGACTTCCCCTCCCGCCCGGCGCGCTGGTGCGCACGCGCGGCTCCCCGTAGGCGTCCCCGGCGCGGTTTCCCTCGCCCGGCCCGGCCGGCATCTCCCCGTCAGCGCCGGAGCCTCCGCTGTCGGGCAGCGCGAGGGAGCGCCCGTCGCAGGCCGGGCCCCCCGGGCGCCCGCCTGCGCGTCCGCTAAGCGCGCCTGAGCCGGGCACGTGGAAATCCCCGGGCAGCGTCGAAGGCCCTCCCTGCGAGCCGGGCCCCCTCGGAGCGCCGGGCGCAGGCTGCCCACATGCGCCGGGGCGAGGCCTGCCGCTCGGGCGGCGGCTGCCCCTGAAGCGCTGAGGCGAAGGCAGGCAGATGCCTGGGCGCGGGCAGTGGCCGCACTTGGCTCTCCTGGGCATTCGCCATCCCCTTCCCCAGGCTCGCCTGAGCGGAGGCGACGGGCCCCGGCCAGCTCTGATAGGGGGCGGACGGGCCTGGGCTTCTGGATGAGCAGCCAGAATGCAGCCTCGCTTCAGCTGTGCCCCTTTTTGTAGTGGCACGGCCTGAAATGCCCAGAACTCTTTCTGAGACAAAGGGCAAGCAGGAGGGGGGCAGAAGGAAGCGGGACCCTCGGAAGTGCTGTGCACGTGCTGGCGAGCCACAGCCGCACACGGGCCTGACGCGGAGATCGGGTCTGTGGCCCCACCCCACCCTCGGGACGGGGGCTTACCCCTGCCTTACCGCCGGGCTGCGGGAGCAGCACGGGGCATTCCAGCTTGCTTGAGGAAAGACATCACACAAGTTCAGTTTAAGTTAGTTTATTTGTCTTGAGCTCACAGAATTCAACATGCGAGAGCATTTCGGTCCTAACAGGCTTACGGGTCTCGGGCCCGGATCCCTCTCCTCCCAGCAGGAGGTGCTTCTCGCTCCCTCTGCCTGAAAGCACTGAGGACGGGCCCCCAGAGGGGCTGGCGCAGGGACAGAGGCGCTGAGCTCGGCATTGCGACGCGTGTAGCGCTGAGGCAGGAGGGGACTCCCTTCCCCAGACACGTGCTTTGAGGAGGCCAGACACACCGGTCTTTCCAGCCCGCCGCAGGGAGGCTCTCCCCCACGCCCGGTCCTTTCGCTGTGGAGCCCCACGTGGCATCGCCCAGCAGCAGCAGCGGGGCGCTCGGTGGTTTACATGGGCAGCTGCTGCTGAACTGTGTGGGTCAGGGCGGTCTGGCGCCTCTTCCCCACAGCCCAAATGCACCTGGGAAGAGCAGGGTGCTCCCCGGGCTTTGTGCCTGCTGCTTGGCTCTGGCCCTGTGGCTGCCTCAGGACAGGCGGTGGAGGAGGAAGCACCAGGCGCGCGGCAGAGAGGAGGGCCTGGCCTGAGACCCGGCCGCGTTCAGCATCAAGAGGGACAGCGAGTGGGTGGAGGGCCCCTGCCTGCCCAGCTGTGGGGGCGCCATCCGGGTGCACGGAGCACGGGCAGGTGCAGAGATGCGGGAGTGGGGGGAGTGTGGCAAGCGAGGCGGCAGAGGAAGCGGGGGGGCGCCTAGGAGATGAGCCGGGCGTGGACCTTGTGCAGCTGCTCCGGCGTCAGGACCAGCCTGTGCACCTGGCCGTGGCCCGGCTGGCAGGGGAAGGTCACTTTGCCGACGTAGACCGTGTCGCTCTTCTGTTCCTCTTTGGCCTGCGAGAGGGAGCACAGCGGGCAAGGGTCAGGGGTGCAGAGCGGGCTGCCCGCGCCGGGAACAACCAGCGCGGCCTTCCTCCCCCTCCCCCGGCCCCGGCCCGGCCCGGCCCCTCACCTTCAGGAAAGGTGCCGACGGGAAGGTGCCGAAGGCAGAGGGGACATTCGCTCCGGGGCGCTGGAGGACGGTCTCTTTCAGGACTTCGTCCTGCGGGTGGGGAGAGGAGGCGCTTAGTGCGGGGCAGCCCGAGCGGAGCGGGGTGGGGCTGGGCTCCGAGGGCCTGCCTGAGGCCCGTGCTCCTCCTCACTGGAAGGCGAGCGCTGCCGCTGCCGCTGCCCTGAGCGCCCCGCCAGCAGCCACAGGCGCTCCCCGGCTGCCGCTGCCACCCTACCTTCAGTTTATCAACGGCTTCGCTCAGCGATTTCAGGCGGGCCGTCTGCTCCAGGAGCTGGGCTGCAGGGCTGGCCGCTGCAAGGCGAAGAAGGGCAGAGCGGTGAGGGAGCGAAGGGGGCCGAGGCCCCGCCCCGCCCCCCGGCCCCACGCCGGGCATACCTGTCCTCTGCCGGGTGATGTCCACCACCGTGGCATTGGCGCTCATCTGGTAGAGGGTCTCCAGCAGCTGGCTGGTCTTGCGGTACAGGGAGCTGGAGACCGCCTCATCCCCCTGCCTGTCCTTGGGGAGGGAGAGCTTGGGCACGTGCAGGGGCGAGAGCGAGGCCAACTCCCTCCGCATCTGAGCTCCCTGCAGGGGGGGAGGGAGGGAGGCGAAGGAGTGCGCGGCTGGCCCCGGAGGCCTGTGCTCGCTGCACTTCAGAGCAGGCGCCCCCAAGAAAGGAAGCCCCCCCCCACGCCCTGGCGCTCCCTGTCCCACCAAGGGCAGGGCGGACCGGGACTTGCAGGGAAATGCAGAATCACACGAAGGGGAGTGGAGGGAGGCGGGACGGGATGGGGGCAGGAGGAGGCCAGGATCAGAACGACTGGTGTGGACCCTGCAAGGAGCTTCTCTGGAATGGGAATGTTGGGGGGGGCCCTTCCGAGGGACTGCGGCTCCCAGTCCGGGGCCCCGCTCCTCTCGGGGAAGGCCTCCCTCTGCAACCGCTCGCAAAGGGCCCTCCCTCGCACCTTGAGCCGGTTGTTCTCGTTCTTGAGGTGCTTGACGGAGAGCTGCAGGGCGTCGATCTGCTGGAGGAGGAGCGGGGAGTCCTTCACCTGCACGGGGCCTGCCGCGCCCATCATCACCTGGCCAGCAGCCATGCCTGCCCAGGACAAAGGACGCGCCCTCAGAAAAAGGGCCTTTGGGAGGGAAGTCGGGCACGACGGGGACGGAGTGCCGGGCGGCAGTGTAGCCGGCCTGTCCCGCCTGCTCCCGGGCATGGCTGGCTGCCTGGGGGCTCCCCGGGGGTCCGTGGCTGGGGACTCTGCAAGGCACGGCAAGCTGAAGCGCCTTCCGCTGAGCTTGGAAGGAAGGAGCCCGAGCCTTGCCCCAAGCCAGCGTCTGCCAGGCTAGGATGGGGCATTTCAGGAGGACTGGAAACGGACGGGGAACAGGCCCGCCCCGCACAACTCTGCCGGGAGGGAGCCGTTCACGGCTCTGACGGAGGGGCTGCCCCGGAGGCTGGGAGTGGGGCAGGCACAGCCGCCAGCCTCCCCCTCCTCCGACCAGGGCAAACGAGGCCGTGAGCACACTCGCCAAGCGAGCGCCAGCACGGGATTCTCAGGGGGGCTGTGCAGCTCACCCCCTCTGCCCCGCCCAGAGCCCCCCGCAGTCCTGCAAGCCACCCTGTGCCCATGGCCCATCTCCAAGCCCCGCCGCGCTGCCAGGCCCCTGCAACCATCGGGCAACGCGAGGCCCAGCCTGGCCCGGGGGAGCGGCTGCCACCGTACCTCTCTGCTGCTCTTCTGAAGGGGGAGCGTGGAAGAGAGGAGAAGCGGCAGTTAGGAGACGCCCACCGCGGGGGGGCATGTCCTGCGGGGCCCCTCCTGACCCGCTCGGCCTCTCGCTCGCTGGGAAGGCCCGTTCCCGGGAGCCGCAGGGGCCGCCTGCCCAGGGAGGCTGGCTAGCGGGGCCCACGGGGCTGGTCCTCCCGAGGCCGGGCGTGCCGCTCTGCTCTGGAGCACGCGCACGCATCCAGCGCCCCCCCACGAGAAGGAGCCACACAGCCAGCTCCCCGCAGCCGGGAAGCAGAGCGCTCCGCGGCCCCGGCGACGCACCAGGGTTGCGCTCGGCCTGCCGGGGCCGAAGCCCCGGGGGCCAAGGCCGGCTCGCGAGCCACCCGCCCCTGCTGCCGGGCAGCAAGGAAAGGAGCGGAAGAGCCCCGCACGGACGGAGCCAGGTGGTGGCGCCCTCCCTCCAGCAAGGCTGCCTCGCAGCTCGGCCCCCGGCCAGGGACCCCCCGGCCCCCACGGACTTCCCCTCCGGCCCCGGCCCCACCTCCCGTGATGCCGGAGATGACGGAGGCGATGCCGGAGGGGGGGGCGCCCCGCAGGCCCTCGATGGTGCGCTTGGACTGGCTGCTGAGCCGCTGCTTCAGCTCCAGCTTCTCCGACTCCAGCTGGTCGATGTCTGCCTGCAGAGCGTCCATCGTCTCCTCGAACTCCCTGGGGAGAAGGCAGCGCTGATGCCGAGTGCCGCCTGCCAGGAGGGCTCCCGCAGGCGCGGGCACAGCGTCCCGGCGACCCCAAGGGCAAGCGGGCACGGGGCAGAGCCGGGGAGGCCTGGGGTGCTGGGCCCAGCTGGCAGCCTGCCCGGGGGGCACCTCCGCCGCTTGGGGCCTGGACGTGCCGAGCTGGACCCTCTGCGCCAGAGGCCGTTGTGGGGAGCCTGCCCCAGAGCTGCTTGGGCACGACGAGGTGTCCTGCCCACAAAGGGGGGGCCCAGATTCCCAGCATGCCGAGTGCTGTGCCAGGTGACAGGGTCCGATTCTGGCCTGGAGCCCAGACCTCAGACACAGGAGGACAAGCCCAGCCCCGGCCCACCCCCCGATGCGAGCGGCTGTGGGGAGAGGCTGGGCGTGGGTTCGGTGCCGAAGGACCCGGGCAGCGCCCCCCAGGCCGGGGCACGTCCGAGGAAGGGCCGCCCCTCAAGGGCCGCCGGCGCCACGTACTTCTCCTTCTTCCGCAGCAGCGCCTGGGTCTCGTCCAGCTTGGTCTGGATCTTCTCCACTCGGTCGTCCGCGTCCTTGGAGGAGCTGTCCAGCTTCTTCTCCAGGAGGCTGAGGCGCACGTTGGCCTCGCTCAGCTCCTCCCCCTGCAGAGCACGGCAAGCGAGGGGGCCTGAGGCCTCTGCAGAGAAGCGCCTGGAGGAGCCACCCAAGGGGCAGGCTGGGAAGGGCCCTCTGCCGGGCTTTCCAGCACGGCCCGGCTCTGGTCGGGATGGGGAGGGCACAGGGGGGGGGGGGGGGGGCAGGCCAGGAGCCTGCGGTGTGCAGGGTCTGACCTTGATCTTGAGCGACTTCTTCAGCTCCTTGATGACGGTTTCCCGGTCCTCCAGTTTGAGCCCCAGCCCCTCGGCGTCTGTGATCTCCGCCCGCAGCGCAGCCGCCCGCAGATCCACGGGCGAAGGGGGCTGCAAGAAGAACCGGGCCGCCTGCTTGGGTGCCGGATGGGCCCGGGGAGCCCATCGCAGCCCCGGGGGCAGCCCTGCCTCCGTTCCCCCGCAGGTCTTTTGAGATCCAGGAACCCGTCCTCCCTGTGGGCCTGGCCGCGAGACGCACCGCGAGGGGCCGCTCCGCACCAGCCCAGCCGCCGGCCGTCCTGGCCAGAGCGCCGAGCCCGTGGCCGCCCGGCTCGCGGGGGCTCACCTTCGCCTGGGGCTTGTCCGCGTCGTACTCGCCCTCCTGCATGGCCGTGGCCATCTTGTTCATGGTGGCGACGAGGATGCTGCACGACTGGCGCAGGCACTCGTAGGGGCTCACGCCCGGCACCCCGTAGATCTGCGGGGGAGACCGCCGATGCAGCAGGCCGCGAGAGCTCGCCCGTGCCGCGAGCCCCCCACAATCGGAGGGGGGAATGCCGGCTGGCCGAGCCCCCGGGGAGCCCCCGCGTGCAGGCCTGGCCACACCGCCATCTTGCAGCGCCACCAGGCAGCCCACGGACCGCAAAGGGCGGCCGCTGGGGCTCAGCTTGGCTTCCCGCTTGGTGCCGTACGGCGGCAGCTGCCTGGGCTCGGTGCCCATGTGCCTGAGACTGACCAGCCCGGGGGACAGAAGCAGCAGCCTCGGGGAAGAGCCGCTGCCCCCCGCCACTCACGGGGAGCGGGGAGGGGGAGAGGGGGTGGCGGCAGCGACCCCAGACCCGTGAGCGGCCAAGAAGGGGAGGTGCCTTGCCTGCTCACTGGCCTTGAAGGCCAGGTCTTCCAGCTTGGCCGCCTGGAGGCCCTCGTTCTCCGTCAGGGGGGCGATCCGCTGCGCCCCGGCGGCCGCCACCTCCTGCAGCACCGCCACGACCCACGTCAGGTGCTTGCGGCAGTCCTGCAGCGTGTCCGCGACCTGCCCGGTAAAGGATGGTTAGAGGGCGGAAGGAGGCGTGCCAGGCCAGCCCTCCGCCTCTGCGGGTGATGGGTGTCTCCCAGGGCCGGGCTCCCACCTGCTGTCCGAAGCTGAGTGCCGCGGGGATGCCGGGGGCCTCGGTGCCCGGCATGCGGCGCCTGATCTTCTTGCAGAACTGCCGGATGTCGCTGCACGAGGTCTCCAGGTCCTTCAGCAGGATGGCCAAGTCGGAGGCCTCCTGCCCGACCTGCGGGCGAAAGGCGGCGTCAGCCCAGCGTGGCGAGGACCCTCGGCGGCCCCCCGAGAGGCCAGCCCTCGCCCTGCCCTGGGCCGCCCTGCCTCTGGCGCTCACCTGCAGGAAGGACCGCAGCCTGGCCACCTCCACGCTCATGCAGTCCAGGGCACTCTGGGTGAACTGCGGGCAAGCAGAAGCGCGGTCACTCGGGCCCCCTGCGGAAGCGCCGCTCCCCCGAGGCCCTTGTGCGGCGTCTCGCCAACGGAGCCCCCACCCTCTGCCTGGCCCCGGCGGGTGCGCGGCCACCGGCTCCGGCACACTCCGCCACACCCCTCCTGCGCACCTTGATGTGGTCTGCCAGCTGCGTGGTGCAGTCCTCTGCTTGGTCAGCCAGGTGGATGCTGTACAGGTGCTGGAGGGAGAAGGCAGGGAGGGAGAGGCGCCTGGCCATCAGCTGCCTTCCTACCGGTAGCAGCCCCAGTGCCAGCTGGCCTCGCCCTTTGCCGGCCCGGCTGCCGCAAGACCGGAGGGGCACAGGCGTGGCTGTGCGGGGCCCAGGCTGAATGCCGGGCCGGAGCAACCAGGCCATGGACGCGGGCAGGGGGCCAGCGCGAGGCGGCCCTCGGGGTGCTGATGTGGGTGGGGCATGTGGCTTTCTGGGGCCGCCTCCCAGGCGGCTGATTTTGGAAGGCCTCCGGCTGAGGGGCAGGACCGGAGGGGGTGATCGCTGGGTGGGCGGGAGCTGTGAGTGCGGCTTCGGGCTCCGCGCGGCTCCCCGCCTTCCCAGCACTGCTGGCGCACGGCCGTGGGTTGGGGCAGTGCCGTGGGGCTCCACCGGGGCTGGGACTCCCAGGTCCCACCTGGTAGTACTTGATGGCTTTGGTCAGGGGCTCCACGTTGACGGTCTCGTCCAGCTGGTCCTTGTGCAGCAGCTCGATCAGGAAGTCCAGGGACCGCTCGTGCACGCTCATCTCGGGATAAAGCGTCCCCACCTTCTTGTATGTGTCCACGTCACACTTGTTCAGCGCCCTGAGTTGGAGCGGCACTGTCAGGACCGGCGGGGACTGCAGAGCCCCCCGCCGGCGCCCTGGGGCCCCCGAAAGCGACTCACTGCTCGTATTTGTGCAGCGCCGCCTGCAGGAGGATGAGGGAGTACACCAGCCCCGCGGCGAAGCTCAGCTGCTCCCCCGGCGCCCCTCGCAGGCCGGCCCGCTCCGCACAGCTCTCGTTCAGCTCGAACTTCTCCTGGGCCTGCTTGCTGATCAGCTCGGCCTGTTCCGGGGGGGAGGGCCCGTCAGAGTGCGGCACACCCCCGCGCCCGCCCCCGCCCACTGGTGCTGCTGCCCCTCCGCGAGTGTCCTCTCTGGCCGCCGTAGGGCAGGGCGCAAGAGAGCCCTCTGTGTCCCGGGACCCAACGGGCCACCCACAGCCCTCTCCGTCGGCTCGAGTCCTGTGCAGCTTGGCCCGTTCAAAACGCCCCGCTGCTTCCCTGAAGCGAGGCAAGCCCCCCGTGAGGGAGAGACCCCGCCCCAGCACCCCCAGCCTCCTCAGCTCCCTGAGGTCTGGGGCCAGGCCTCGAGCACGAAGAAGGGACGAGGGGGCGGGTCGCTCGAGAGGCAGCCCGGCTGCGTGGGATCCCGCAGAGCCCTCGCCGTGGCTGGGCAGCCAAGAGCTGCGGTTTGGGAAAGGGCGGCTCCGCCTCCGCCTGCACGGAACGGGGTGCCTGGCGCCGGATTAAGCGAGCTGCAGTTGCACGGGCGAGGAAGGGGGGGCCGGAGATTCTCGTGGAAGCAGCACATGCGCACCGTGCCGGAACGTGACGCTTCGGGATCTTGCTGCTGGGTGGCAACGGGGTGGGAAGGAACCTCCGCCGGAGCGGCTGGAGGAAGGCGTGAGGCGTCAGCCCGTGCCCTCCGGCGCCTGAGAAGCGTCCTGGAACGGGCGCCGCGCGTCGCTGCTGCCTTGCTTCTCGAGCCGTGCGTTCAGCCAGAAGGAAGGCGGCAGAGGGCCCCGCTGCAAAGGGCCCTGGCCAGCCGGCCTACCTTGCAGATGAGGCGTGGGATGAGCAGGAGCACCAGGAGGCAGTCGTGGTCCCCGCCGTGCCGCAGGAAGCTGCCCGGCATGAAGGCGGTGAGGAGGGAGACGTGCCGGTTGGCCTGCTGCACCTCCATCTGCCGCAGCTCCATCTCGATGGCCTGCGGGGCGAGCGGGGCCCGGGTGAGCCGCAGGGGCCGCAGGCCCAGGGTGGGGGGCAGGCGCCCCCGGACACGAGCGCGCGGCGCCCCTGCACCCCCTCCCTCCCGGAGCACCTGCCCCACCACCCCGTGGCGCTCCTGCATCTGGGCCTCTCCCCCCTCCTCGTGCTGCAGTCCCTCTCCTGGGTCACACGGACACGGACAGGCGGCACGAGGGAGGGGCCCTCGCCAGCCGGACGCTGCCTGAGGACGCGAACGGCTGGCGGGGCTCACGGGGAGCAGGAGCCGGCCCAGCCTGGGCGCCTTTGCAGCTCCCGGTGGAGCCGACGGAGCCCGCAAGACGCCCCAAAGCCAAGCAGCCCTGGCGGGGCCTCGAGCAGCGCTGCTGCTGCTCAGTCGCAAGGTCGTGTCCCGCGGCCACAGCAGCCGGGCTGTCCTGCCCCCTGCTACCCCCGAAGCCCACCAAGTGACGTTACCTAATGTTACAACATGACTTAAGTTGCGCTGTATTCTGGCGCTATGCTTGGCACTGCATTTCTAGCCTGACTCGGCCTTTCGAATGAAGAGCTGACGGCCACGGCCTGCTGCTGGCCTGGTTTAGGCAGCGTCTCCACCTCGTGCTTCCAGCGAGTCCGCTGGGTTTCTGCGTGGGCCAGTGGGTGAGCCCTACGTGCGCCCGGGCAGCTGCCTGAAGGAGCAGGCCGGCCTCGCCCCATTCCGTGCATTCACCCTTTCCGTTCTGCACGCATCCCCCGCGGACCCTACCTTGGCGTGGGCTTTGGTCTCTGCAAATTTAATCTTGAAGTCAAACATCTCGGGAGGAGGCTGCTGCTGCCTCTCCGCCGACGCCTCTTGCTGGCTCATCAGCTCGCGGTTGACATCCTGGACCAGGGACGGCACTCCTCAGGCGCACTGATCCGCGTGTCGGAGGCCGTGCCGGCCTGGCAGCCCTGCCACCCCCTCCCCACACCGGCTGCTGGGCCAAAATGCCGGTCGAAGGAGGGCCTCCCCCCACGCTGGCTCGAAGTAGGGCGACACATTGCGCTTCCAACCGGCCAGGGCGGCCCATGCTGGCCTTGGCCCTCGCGGCAGGCCGGCCTCCCCTCAGCAGCAAACGGCCCCGGGTCACCCAGCTCCCCCACCCACGGAACCTGGACGGAGTGGCCCATCCTGCTTCTTGCCGTGGGGGCTTCAGCCACTGGACAGGACAGCAACCAATACCGGAAGGGCTGCTGGCGCCGCTTGTGCTGCAACGGGGCAGGGGCAGTGCAAGGTCACAGAAGCCCCGCTCCCCCAAACCGCAGGCAAGAGCCTTGCTTTAGAAAAGGACAGTGAAAGCGGAGCTTCTCGGGATGGAAAGTTATCATCCGGCCTAAGACACGCCTAAACGACCGGAAGCAGGAGCTGCTCGGCCACGCTGTCCACCGCCTTCGTGGCCAGAACTCCTATGCTGCAGGAGGAGCAGAGCGGCCTGGAGAGGAGGGCCTGCAGCCCCCGCTTCGCTCTCGGCCTCCCTCGCCCGCCCCGACACACAGGGCCCGGCGACCCCAGGCGGCTCCTGCCGGAGGCAGAACGGCCGGCCAAGCACGCCCCTGGTGCGGCTCCCTCTCCCAGGCTCGCCCTCCGATGCCAGGTTGGGGGGGGGGGGCGCCTGGGACAGCCCCGGCAAGGGGCCGGGCCCACCGCTACCTGCAGATGGGCGGTCAGCTCCCGGTACTTCTTGATGGTCTGCTGGTAGTCCGCCACCGTCTCCTGTGCGGCCTCCACCCGCTTCTCCGCCTCGCGGACCCGCGCCGTGGCCATGTCCAGATGCTCCCGCAACTCCAGCTCCGTCTCCCGGGCGTTCTCCTGCAGCTCGTCATTCATCTCATTCATGGCTTCCTGGTGGGGGGGCACAGAAGGCCGCCTTCAGAGACACGGGGGGGGGGGGGGCAGGAGGCCGCTTGGGGCTGCGTGGCAGGCGGAGGGCAGCTGCACGGGCCAGGCAGCGTCCTCCCTGCTGGGAGCAGGGGCAGGGGCGAGCCTCCCCCCACTGGTCACGTCCGCAAGGCGGTGCACTGAATCCCAGGACAGCCCGCCTGTCGGGGCGCTGGGAGGCTTGTCGGGAGATGGCCCGCCGCGAGCTGCTCCGCCTCCGCCTCCACCTCCCCCTCGGCACACGGCGCCCCCCTCCAGTGCTCACTCACCAGGTCTCCGACCGTCTCCCGGAGCTCCCGGACCTTCTCCTCGAGGTCCAGGTTCCTCTCGGTCAGCGTCTCCACCATCTCCTCAGCCCCCAGAGCAGCGTCCACCTGGAAGAGGCACGCGTGGGGATGCCGGCTGAGTCCCCACCCCAGACAGGCCGGGTTCAGGGGACGTCGGCACCAGGAACGAGCGCCCCCCTCCCAGCAACAGGCCACCAGGCACCGACGGGCCGTCTCAAGCCACGAGAAGCAGCCTGTCCGGCTACGCTGAGATTTCTCTCCCCTTCCAAAGAGAATGAAGATGCTGCTTCATCACTTCCTTGATAAGGCAACCAGTAAAGCCTCTGCGCTTCTGTTCTTCCCGCTCCGGCTGCCGCTCTGGGTATGGGGCAGGCGTCCCTGGCTCTCGCGCCTCAGCAGCGCCTGGGGACCCTCCATGGTCTGCAGGACAGCCGTGCGTCTCCCAGCTCGCTGTGGCTCCAGCACAGAACCGGGCCCCTTTGCGGCCCCTCCAGCGGCCCCCTTCCGGCTACTGAGGACGGCTGGGCTGCTGGCCCTGGAGGGACACTCCCCCCCACGGCCCCCACCAAGTTGCTTCAGGCGCCCTTTAGAATGTGGCAGCCCATCCCTCGAGAGGGTCCGCACCCGCAAGACGCATGGGCGCCCTTCGTGAGCCCGCTTCCCTGACGCGCCCACCAGAGGGCGGGGCCGGCTGGTGGTGGAGCGCCCCCCTCCCAGCCCTTGGGCAAGGAGGGCCCCCCCCCCACGGGGGGCAGGGACCGTGGGCTGCCGCCCCGGCTGTGCACGGGCCTCGCCAGGCAGGGCTGTCGGTGCCGCTCCTTCGTGCTGTGCCAGGCGGAAAGCGATGGTGAGGAGAAGCGGGCACTCCTCATCACCTGGCTCGTGTGGGGACCCCCCAGGAGCTGGGCGCCCCCCGAGCAGGGGCTCCTGCTGCAGAGCGCCCTGGCGCCCTCCGTGGCTGGCGGGCTCAACTCTACGCGCGTGTTGCAGCGGCAACTGGGGTCAGGACGGCTGGGGCAGGCCCCACGGACGGGGAAGCTGCTGGAAAAGGCTGGGGCCGAGCAAGAGCAGGAGGGCCGGCCTCTCTTCTCGGGCTTCCCAGAGGCCAGTCCGCGGAGCAACAGGCTCGAGCCCCGGGAAGCCAGGCCCAGCTCCCCGACTGTGAGCGCAGTGCCACATGGGGCCGTGGGCTCTCCCAGTTGGAGGCGTTTGAGAGGCAGTGGACAGCCCCTGCCGGGGAGGCTTCGTGCCGGAGTCCTGCACCGAGCAGGGCGCCATGACGGCCTCGTGGGTCCTGCTTTTCCCATCCAGCCTTGAGCTTTGAAAAACGTTAAGCCTCCAGACTCCCTGCTGCTCCTGTTACCCTCTGATCCGGCTGGCAGAAATCACGGCCGGTCACTCTGCAGCGCTCGAGGCGGCTGTGGCTGCGACGGGGGGACCTTGCCGTCCCCCGTCCCCCCGGGCTGCTTTGAGGTTCCCACGCCAGCAGCTCTGTGGTGGCAGCAGCGGCGATGAAGGAGCCACGTTGCTTAAAGCACGGCATGCAGAGACGCAGGCCCCCGAGGGAGCGGGACGGGCTGGGAAGCCCATCCAGGCCCTAAGGCAGCAAAGACGCCAAGGGACGGCAGCTGCCCTGAGACCCTTCGCGGCTTTTGTCGTCACCCTAACAGTGAGGAAGGAGCTAATTGAAAACGCCTGTCCAGTTCCTGTCCCCAGCCCTGCCTTCTTCCCCCTATTTCTCTGCTGCAAACACGTGCCTGTGGCTGGCAGCCGGCCCGGGCTGGGCTGGGCTAGGGGGCATCCAGGTGCAGCAGAGCCCGGCCTGGGCAGAAAGGGCTCCGGCTGCCTGCACGGGGAAGTCTTGCGGAGCCGCCTTTCCTCCACACCTGTTTGGGGAAAGGGTGCTGGGTCCAATGTGGGGGGGGGGGGGGGGCTGCGCCACGGAAAGCAAGCAGACAAGGCCCCGCTGCCCTGGACGGGCCATCCCTCGGGAGGCGGGGCAGCCCAGGCCGGGTGCCGCGGGCCGGCTCACCTGCTCCTTCAGCTCATCCGTGGTCCTCTCGGCCTGCTTCAGCTCCTCCTGCAGCTTCTCCTTCTGCTGGCGCAGGGACTCGAGCTCCAAGTTCTTCTTCTCCATGTGCTTCTGCAGCTTCACGTGCTCCTGCTTCTCCGAGGCCGACAGGTCCCTCATTCTTTCGAGGCAAAGCACGCTCGGCGTCACTCACACGACCCAGGGCAGAGCCTGGGCCTGGCTGGGAAGGGCACCCCCCCACAGCCCCCAGGAAAGGCCCAGCTCAGTCTCTGGGGCCGGCCACACAGAACCATGCGTGCTGCAAGCCCAACTGGTGGACCCAATCCTGCGCACCGGGGAGGCCGCGGGAGGCTGCCTCCAGTGGGGTGTGCGTGTGTGTTCCTACCTCACGAGCGCCTCCTTCAGCCGGGCATTCTGCTCTTCTAGCTGCTTGACGTGGTAGCTGGAGGCAGCCCCATCCGAACCTGGAGAGGCAGCAAGGCACATGCAGAAGCTCTTCAGGGCGCCTGCCCCCAGCAAGCCACCCCGCGACTGCGAGGCACGGCCTCCCGCCCCACCCGCAGGCGCCCCCACGCCAGCTGCCCGACCCTGGGGTATTCCCAGCCATGCTCAGGTAGGACGGAACTCCCACCGTGGCTGCCTCGTTACCCAGCCAAGCGCAAGGACTCTGGGGATTCTTCCAGCATGTGGAAGAGGAAGAGAAACGCTAAGCAAAATACTCCGAGGACATACTTGGCTACGAAAGGGGCGCTGGCACAGCGACCCGGGTTCTGGGGCCACGGGGCTACGCTTCCTTGGAGCTGGACAAGAGCTGGGAAGCAGGTGTTTGGCCCCCACGCGAGGGTGCTCTTCAGGGGGCTTTAGACTGGGGAGGGAGGGAGGGAGGGAGGAGGGAGGCGAGTGTTCGTGCAGAGAAGATGGCCATGATTGCGATCGTGTTTTTGCAGGAACATGGCCGCGATCGTGGTCATCACCCGATGTGGCGTTCACGAACGGAGGCAAAATTTTTCCAAAATTTCTGTTCACAACCAGCTCTGGTCGTGAACTGAAGCGTTCATGAGCCGAGGTGCCAGGTACACAGTCTTCAATGCCTGCCTATTAATGCCTGGAGAACAGGACACAAGAGCCTGAACTCTTAATGCTGGAGGGGAACGTGACCTGGCAGACGTAACTGAGACTTGGTGGGACGACTCCCATCACGGGAGCTCCTGACCTGCGTTGCTGCTAACTTCCTGATGAAGCTAAAGCGAAGGAAGGAACTAGAGGATCGGCCATCCTTGCCTTGATTCTAACCAACAAGGATGACCTATTGGAGAAAATGGCAGTTACAGGAACTCTGGGGAAAAGTGACCACATGAAACTTGAATTCTGGATTCTGAATGCGGCCAAAGCCAAGTGTGGCCAGACTTGTACCCTGGATTTTAGGAAAGTCAGCTGTAATAAACACAGAACAGTTATAAGTAAGATTCTATGGGAAGCAACTCTATTGAGATAAGGAGTCCAAGATAAGATAGGAATTTTTTAAAAAGGAAATTCTAAAGGTGAAATTAAGAGACAATTCTCATGAAAATGATAGAACGCAACAGACAAAGCCAGAGAGGCTTTCACCAACAGCTCAGGGATGACCTGAAGATGAAAAGGGATGCACCTCAGAAGTGGAAGAAAGCACAACGGAATTCCAGGGATGGTATCAGGAAGGCTACAGCGGAGAATGAGCAGAGATTAGTGACAGATGATAAAAGCGATGAAAAGCCTTCTTCAGAGACATGCACAGTACAAGACAGGAGGAAGAAACAGGGGTTCAACTACTCATTGAGGATGGAAAAAGCTCAAGGAACATCAGGTTGGATGTCAGAAAGTGCTTCCTGACTATTAGAATGCCCAGGAAACGGAATGGGCTTCCAAGGGAGGTGGTGGAGGCCCCGTCCGTGAGGGCATTCAGGGAAAGACTGGACAGCCACATGGTGGGGACTGCATGTGCGGAGCCGGCTGGAGCCGGGGTCAGACGAGATGGCCTGGGAGGCCCCTTCTGACCCACTTTGATTCTGTTTCTGAAAAGGGTTAACGGATGACAAAGGGAAGGTGGAAGTGCTTGCTCAGTTCCTACTTTGGCTTAGTCTTCTCCCAAGGAGGGGCTGCAACCGCCACGGCCAAGGTGAAGTATGAGCTCAGGGCAGGATCGCTGCCAGAGACTGACAGTCAAATGGCCAAGGAGCTCCCATCACTTCGGGCCAGGTCAAATTTCCAGGGCCGGAAGAATTGCATTCTTGAGTAATAAAGGAACTGGCAGGAGCACTTGGAGAACTATTATTCTGAAAAAGCACAGAGGATGGGTGACGTGCCAGATGACTGCTGTCCCATCTTCAAAAAAGGAGGGCGGGTGGGAAACGGCAGACCAGTCAGTCTGATATCAGGTACTGCGAAGGTTCTGGAGATCACGAGCCCAGTGAAAGCAGCACAGCGATCGCTAGGAGCCCAAATGGGTTGCTGAGAACAAGTCCTACCAGACCAATCTGGGCTCATTTCCTGGTCAGGCAGACTCCCTGGCGGACTGTGGGAATGCTGTGGGCATAATATGGCAAAGCTTCTGGCAAAGCGCCCCATGATATCCTGCTGAGCTCAGGGGAAAAACTCTCTGGCAGATCCCCCCCCCAGTTGTCGACAGAGTCTGCGACTGCTCCTCAATGACTCCTCCTAAAACTGGGGAGGGGTAAGGAGCAGGTTATGGCAGGACTCAGTCCTGGGCCCAGGGCTCTTCCACATTTTGATCCAGGAGGGGTGGTTTAACTTGGAGTCCTGCTCCGAGCAGGGGGCTGGACGTGGCGGCATGCGGGTCCCTTCCAATTCTACTGTTCTGTGGTTCTATGATTAATGCTTCCTACTTGTCAGATCTGCAAATGTCGCAGAACTGGGTGGGACAGCCAGCTGAGTGGGAATCCTGGAAGGCAGAAACATAATGCAAAGCTACACTGACAGGTTGGAGCGTTGGGCTGAGAAGTGTAAAATAAAATGTAACAGAGACAAATGCCAGGTTTGGTACCTAGGAATAAGAAAGCAAATGCAGTTACACGATGGGGGATGCTGAGCTCAGCAACAGCGGTGCGACTGGAAAAGGTGCAAATACTATATTGGTTTGCATTCATAGAAGCATCACTTTGAAATCGCACGATGCACCAGTTCCCTTCGCTCCACACTGGTTGGGTCTCATCTCGAGCACCGCGTCCAGTTCGAGGCGACACACTTTAAGAAAGATGCGGCCAAACCGGACGAGGCTCAGAGGAGGGCAGCAAGGGCGGTCGGGGGGAGAAGGCAGGGCACTCGCAGGGCTGCCTAGGTGAGAGATGACTGGCAGCGTGTCACAGCAACAGAAAACCCCTCCTGCTCTGCCACCCATCCCTGCAGGGCTACAGAAGCCGCCTAGAGACCGAGCGACGCGCCCGGAGACCCCAAGCAGAGCCGCCGCTCTTCCCCTTCTGGGAGGGAAGCAGAAGCAGGCGCGGGAATCGGCATGCCTGCCACGTGGGCGGCCATTAGACCCTGGGGGTGGAACAGGCCCTCACAGGAGCCGGCGGCTCCCTGGCTGGAGCAGTTCCGGGGCCGGACGCCACTCCTTCGCCAGCGTTTGCCTACCCCCAGTGCAGAGCGGCAGCTGGGCCCATCAGCCACGCAGTGCCTGCCCCCCAGAGAAGGCCCCCACCGCCCCCGCCCCCCTCACCCTTCTCCTCGATCTCATGCTTCAGGATCTCCAGGTCCATGGTGAGGTCCTCGACCTTCTCCTTCAGGGAGTCCACCTCCTGCTGCAGGGACTCCGCTCGCTCCTCGGCCATCTCCTTGTCCAGCGTGGCCATCTCGATGGCGTCGGCCGTGTCGGCCATCTCCTCCACGTAGTGATCCTTGGCTTCCAGGGCCTCTTTGGCCTCCTGTGGGGAGAGGAGGCAGCCATGCCTGTCTAGTCGCGGGGGAGGGGGCGGGGGAAGCCACACCGCTCCCGCCTTGGACCCTCCCCACACCTTGCCCGGGGGTGGGGGGACACCTGCGGGCCTGGACAAGCCCTAGCCGGCATAGGGAAGATGGGGGTCGCAAGCCAAAACAACGGGGGGGGGGCCAGGTCCCCCACCAGGCCCTGTGGCTGCCTCCTCACAGGACGCGAGGAAGCGGGCGCCCTCCAACCGGGAGCCGCAGGCACAGGCGGCCCTGCAGGGACGGAGGTGAGGCCGACCTGCCCGGAGGCTCTGCCCCCTCCTGCCAGAGCCACCCGCCCACGGACAGGCGCACCTTCTTGGCTTCTTTCAGGCGCTTCTGCAGCTCGGCCTGCTGCTCCTGCATCTTGCTCTTCCACTCCTGCACCTGCTCCAGCTGGATCTTGTACTTCTCCAGCTCCTTCAGCTTGGCTTTGTCTTCGTTCCGCTTCATCTTCAGGGTCTCCAGTTTCTCCTCTAGATCTCGCACCTGGCCGCGCAAATTCTCCTCCTCCTGCAAGCCAAAGGAGAGGGCGCTCTTACCGCCTGCAGCGGCTTTCGGCAGACGCGGCACCCCCTTGGCAGCCCAGCCCGCGGTGCCGAGCAGGAAGCTGTGTGTCGCCCACCACTAAGGACCCTCTCGCCCCATTCGCTCGGCAAACGGCCGGCTATCCCTTGACTTTCCTTCGTGTGAAGGTCTTGGCGGACGAGGGCAACGGCACTGGGCTCTCCGTGCCCACCGATGCTGCTGCACCGAGTGGCTTATCGTTTACTGCTCCCCCCCTCCGAGAACAGTCCGCTGGAGGCAAAGGCATGGCTGGAGCAGCAGCGGCAGTGGCAGCAGCCTGGCCTGGCGCAGGCCCCTGGGCACACGAAGAGGTCCCATTCCAGGCCAGGGCCTGCACTACCCGCCCGAAGCGACCCAGACCGGCTCCGTCCTCCCTGCGCAGCTTCATTTCCCGCTTTGGAGAACCGCTGGCAAGAAGAGAACCTGCTGACGCTGGCAACAGGCAGGCTGCAGGATGGGGAGCCGCACATCGGGAGCTCTGTGGAGGGCAGGAAGTGCCGCCCTCGCCCGCGGGCCCTCCACTGGCGCTCCTGCCGGGTGTGGAGCACGAAGGAGGCACCGCCGTGAGGAGCAACGCGGTGGGCGGAGGGGAGGGTTTCGGGCAGGAAGCCCCCCGGCGTCCCTAGCAGGTCCCCGCCTCGCCCCTCAGCTCCTTGGGACTGACGAAGGGTGTTCCAGTGGAAGAGCAGATCATCTTCCACAGCGATATGGAATCAGTGTCAAGGCTGCACAGCCAGCCTGAGCTTGGTCAGAGCGCAGGACACCCCTGCCTCCGTGGAAACTGGCGCGAGTCGAATCTGCTTGTACGATGCAGGGTCTGCCGGACCACGCAGCTGACAGACCCCAGCAAGGAGGGAGAGCCCCCGAGACAAAGCTTCCCCGAAGGCCAGTGGCTGCGAGGCCAGCAGAACTGCTGCTCGGTCCTGGGCCAGAGCCGGGGAGTGAGCGGCCGGGCAGGGCAATGCTTCGCATCGCATCGCATCGCCAGAGGGCGAGAGGAGGCCAAATGCTCTTCTGCAGAGCTGGGGTCACAACGGGGGGGAGGGGCGGCTCTGGCACCCTCAACGTGGAGGAAGCGGCAGGGCGGCCAGCAGGGCGCGAGTCATGCCAAAGCAGCAGCGGGGCGCGCGGGCGGCGGAGGCCCCAGCCCAGGCCAAGACGCCTCGCCAGCGTCTGCGGATGGTCCACTCGGCCCGGGGGCGCTCGCGGTTCCTTATTCCAGGCTCTTGGCACAAGGGAGCACGGCGGTCTGGCCGGCCGCGGCAACCGGGAAGGGTTCTGCCACAGCCGGGCTCTCCATCAAGCAGAACGCACACCCCGCGGTGGCGTCGCGCGTCAATGGGAAGCAGCGGGGCAGGAGAGCATGGCCGGGAGCGAGCGGCCATGTTTGCGCTCCTTAGCCACGAAGCCGGACGAACATCTGCCCTGAACCGCTCTCTGCGTGGGGAGGGACACGGCCCCGGCGAGCCTGAGCCCGAGCCCGAGCCCTGCCCCGCGTGCGAGCGAGCGAGCGAGCGAAAGCCGAAGGGAACCCGTGCAGGCCCCGCCGGGGTGGGGGGTCACCCGGGGCCCAGCGTGGTTCAGGCAAGCCCCAGACGGGGCTGCAGTGGCGGCTCTGTTTCAGCAGGGGGCGCACTGCCCGAGGCTGTCCACGCAGGGCTCTGGGGGCCGTGCTCCACCGCCACAGGGATCTGGCGCACGCGCCGCAAGAGGACTCCGCCTGCAAGCCTGGCCAGGACAGAGGAGGCACCACAGAGCAGGGCCAGAGCATGAAGGACCCCGATTCTGACTCACACGCCCGATTCTGGCAGCGGCAACCAGGCAGGATGCGGATTCTGGACCCCAATAAAGTGCAAAAGAAGAACGGCAGTGCATCAAGGGGGGCTGTGAGGCAAAACCTTCCCAGTCAGAGGTTTTCCTTCGATATTTCCGCCCGGCGAAATGCTGAGTTTGCTCTGGCGCTTTATGCCCCCAAGTGGGAGGGGCACTTCCGTGTCTGCAGAGGGCCCGGGCGATCCCGTCCTCTCCCCACCAACCAGGCTGAGGAGCGAGGGGGCCGGGCTGGCCTGGCTCCACTTCTGGATCCCCTGCAGAGCGGCACCCGCTGCCCCCAATCTGTGGGCAGCCCCTGCCCCCCGCTCTGCCAGGGCGTGGGACGGGGCTCAGAAGGAGCAGTGCGGCTGGGCTGTAAAGCAGAGCAGGGCGCAGCAGGAGGCCTCCGCAGGCGCCAAGGCAGGTGGGGCACCCGTCATGCCCCTTCTTACGTGCGCACAGGTCGCCCGGAGCCTGCGCTGCAGCTTTTGGGTCCTACCTGGGCTTGGCATCCAAGAACCCGGCGGCGGAGTGCTGGGAACGCCTCCCGGCCAAGCCCACGTCTTCCGAGGACTGCGCCTGCGGCAAAGCAGCCCCAGAGGCAGCCGGCACGGGCGCCCGCTTACCTTGGTGGGTGACAGGACTGCTGGAGGAGCCACCGGAGAGGCCAGAGACGGGGTGGGAACCACGGGGGCCGCCAGAGGGGTCTGGGCAGGCGTGCTTGGCTCGCTGCTGCTCATCTCGCCAGTCGAGGCCGAGGCCGAGCCAGAGAGTCCCACGGCGCCACTGGATGCTGCCGCCGCGCTGGCTGTCCGGGTGGGCTGCAAGACAGTCATGGGGTGTGGGGGGAACAAGGGAATTAGAAGGGTCCTTGCTTCGCAAGACGTCTGCCAGGCTGAGCCTAGACTTGGCTCTCAGCTGCAGCAACTTAGAACACAGAAACAGAGTCTCAGAGCGAGTCAGGAGGGGTCCCTGGGCCATCTAGTCTGACCCCGGCTCCAGCCGGCTCCGCTCACGACATGCCTACCATGTGCACGTCCAACTTGGCACCGCTGGTGCCACATCCACAGCGGTGCCGCTTGAACAGGGCGAACGCATCCTGTCGCTGGAGAGGGTCGGTGCCTGCCCCACTGTCAGCGCTCACACCAAGCGGAGGCAGGGAAGCGGGGCGTCTGGAAGCTCGAGGAGCGTGTGGGGGCAGTAAGCCTCCCGGGGAGCCAGCCCCTTTGGGAGAGGCAATGGGTCCAGGGCCTGAGCCCAGACTGGTGGCAGGGCAGCCCGGGATCCGCTCCAGCAAGTGGGGCGGCCTCTGCACATGGTCCCAGGGACACGGTTTCTGCACAGGTGGAACGCTGGTGCTGGCAGTCTGCCCTGGCTCATGCCAAGCCTTCGACACCCCGGCTGCCGAGCCCCAGTGCCAAAGCAACCATTCTGGTGTGGCTGCTCCCCGGGGGAAGCAGCCGCAGGGCTGGGGGAGGCCTGGCCTTTGGCCTGAGAAAATGCAGCAAGGCGGGGAGGGCCGGCGATGCTCGATGCCACTGGCCTTCGCAACACCTCAAGAACCAAAAGTCCGCCGTGGCACCCGCCTCTGGCACAACTTCCTGAATCTACTCCCAAATTCAGGCGCATCTCTGTGTTTGCAGGTGCTGCTTTGAGTGCAATTAATTTTTTAATAATTTTTAAAAAATAAAATAAATTAGCACCCCAAAAGCAGCGATTTTTCTACAGCTGCAGGAGGGCCAGAGACCTTGCCTAAGATCACACATCGCAAAGAACTACTGGCAAGACAGGAGTGGAGCGAATTCTTCCAGGACGCACGCAGCCCATGCCATCTACCAGCCTGCTGCATGTGCCTGGCGAGGCCCGGTGCTTGCTCTGCGGCTGAGCAGACGGCCCGCGATGCCGGCACAGAACGCCACGTCACCCCGGACTCAGTCCCGTTTCTCCTAGTGTGCCGCTCCCATCAACTGGGGGTGACGTGACCCCGGCTGCCTGGCCGCTCCCCCACCATGAGCAAGCAGCGGCTGCATGCCGGATCGCACAAGTGCAGAGCTGGATGGGGCCAAGAGGGCCATCGGGTGCAGCCCCTGCTGCTGCAGGACACCAAGTCACCCCACCCCACTCAGAGGGCTGCCCAGGTTCTCCTTGGATGTCCCCAGTGTGGAGCAGCCCCCACCTCCCCAGGCAGCTAGTCCCACTGCCGCTTTGCTCTGACAGCGAGGAAGCTTTTCCTGATGTCCAGGCTGAATCTGGGCTGTTACAACGAGCTGCTTATTCTGTGTCCTACCCTCTGCCATCAGCAAGAAGAGATCTGCACCTTCCTCTCTGCGACAGCCTCTGAGGTGCTTACAGAGGGATATGACGTCCCCTTCCGTCTCCTCTTCTCAAGGCTGAACCTGCCCGGTTCCCTCCGCCTCTGCTCACAGGCAGTGTCTCCAAGCCCCGGATCGCTTTTGCTGCCCTCCTCCGGACCCTTTCCCCGGAGAAGGGTGGTGGAGCAACCCTCCACCCAGCCCTTCAGGAGGCTCCTTTCCCCGCTGCCACTCGCTCCTGGGGGGCCTTGGGCCCCTCCGCCTGGAGGGCAGGCAGGGTGGGGAGGCTGCTCTGCAGGCCTGCAGCGGTGGCCCACAGCTGGGCAGCACCTGCACCACCAGCAGGCTTCCCGGGGTCACCAAGTCATGGGCAGCAAACAACCAGCCTGGGGGCAGGAGTGGCGCCTCCTCAAGGAGCAGCATCCGTCTCGGCTTCGGCGCCAGCCGTGCGGGACCGCTACAGGCCCCGAGTCGGTTCGGCTGCAGATCGGTTCCCCCCCTGCCCGCGGAGGCCGCTGGCCACGAACGGGGGAAGGGGCAGGCTAACTCCAGGTGGGCGGCCGGCAGAATGTCCCCCGCTCGGCGCGGCAGTCCGGTGCCCGCCCGTCCTCACCTTGGGCCTCCGGGTGGTGGTCTGGAGCCCAGCAGGAGCAGAAGGCAAAGGAGGAGAGACAGTCACACAGGGAGACAGGAGCAGAGAGACAGAGAGCGGCAGCGGCCGAAGGAGAGCGCCAAGCGAGGGGAGACAAGACAGAAGTGTGGTTAGTGTGCATGCGCCCGCGCCGCGAGCGCAGAACCGGCACGCAGAGCAGCCCCCCCACCCCTGGCTGCTGCTCCCCTCCACTCAGGCCAGGAGTGCGCCAAAGGGCCCCCCCCCCACCCTGCCGCGGTGGTCGAGAGGGCGGGCAGTGGGCACGGTGCCCACAAACGGCAGCACTCTGCCAGAGGGGTGGCGGGCTGGCCGGGAGCCCCCTCCACTCAGGGGCAGGCGCTGGGGGCTCTTCCGCCGCCAGAGGGGCTTCGGGGCCGGCCTGCTCCCAGGGTGGGGGCGACAGAGAAAACGCAGCATCAACTTCTCCCGCTCCTCCCAAGGCGAGCTTTCCTGGACAGCGGTCGGCAACGCAGTGCACCCCCCCCTTCCTGTAGGGGCCGGCTGAGGAGCACCCCCCAGCACACACGTGGCACCACGAAGCAGCCACCGGCCACGTGCGTTGGCTGAACCTGTCCAATACCACACTGCAAGCAGCCCCGGCAGTGAAGAGCACCGGGAGCACGGCTGGCTTCGCAGGAGCCAGAGCCAGCGAGCGCTTTGGGGAGCCCCTGAGCAGTGGATCTGGGAGGGGCCCCTGGCGGCTGCGTGAGCAGGGGAGGCTGAAGCTGGGCTTGGTATCTGCTCAGGCCGGCCAGCGGGCCCGGGCAGAGACCCTCCCTGCCCACCTCGAGGGGCTGCGGCAGAGCCGGGACCTTCAGCCCGCTGCTCTGTGGGCGCTCCTGAAAGCGCAGGCCGGTGGCCTCTCCCCAGCCCCTGGAGCGAGCCTTCCACCCAGGGCTCGAGCCAGGGCTGGGGAGCGAAAGCACTCCTTTCCCCTCCTGAAGCAGCACATCCCCCAGGAAATTACAGGCCAGTGAGCTTAGAGTTTGTTCCAGGTAAATCGGCTTGAAGATAATGTTAGTTTGCACGTGAAAGGACAAGCCCTGCCGAGAAAAAGGCAGCAGGGCTTCCACAAAGGCAAGTCTTCTCTCACCAACCTTTCAGGGTCCTGAGACAACAACCTCGCGGAAGGGGAAATCCCGTGGACACTGGGCATTTGCACCTTCAAAGGGGCTTTGAAGAAGTCCCTCTCCAAAGACTCCTGGACAAGCCGAAGAGTCTTGGGTTGAGAGGAGCGGTCCTCTTATGGTTCCGTAACGGATTAAAGGGCAGAAAGCAGGCTGAGAAGAGATGGCACCTCCTCCCCCACGGGGGGCTGCCAGCACGGGGGTCCCACCAGGATCTGCACTGGGACCAGCACTTTCCCACTTGCTCACAAATGCTCTGGAATTAGGACTGAGCAGCGCAGTGGCCAAGCTTGCTGGTGGCCCCGAATTCTTCGGACTGTTCATTACGGGGCCCTGCAAAGGCACCTCTCCAAACAGGACGGCAGGGAATCCAAATGCCAAATGCGCTTCCGTGTAAGCAAGTGCAGAGCAGCGCACGCTGGCAAAAAGTCCCAGCTTCCAGCACAGACTGAAGGGGTTTATCTGGCAGCGACTGAGCAAGAAGGGAGCTTGTGGGGAGGGGGAGGGGCAGCTTGACGAAAATGTTAACCCAGTGCGCAGTTGCTGTGACGAAGGCAAGCTCCATGTTAGGCATAATTAGGAAAGGAACCAAAAGGAAACCTGCCAATATAAGAGGACCCTCTTACACAAATCCATGGCATGACCACGCTTACTGCACTGAAACAAATATTGCAGAATTGGGAAAAGGGGCTGGAGCAATGCTCTCTGCCTGGAGCCTTATCTCGGAAAGAAAGATGAGTCAGGGGTGACCTGTGAAAGGTGCAGAAGGAAATGGGCAGGCTGACATCCTCCTCCTGCCTCATGATGCCACTGCCCGGGCTCATCCCGTGCAGCTGGCTGGGGGACTCGGGACTGCTGAAGGAAGGGCTTCTCCACAGCGCACACAACCCACTGATGAATTCGCTGCCACAAGCAGCAGAGGCCGCCCACATTCATGGTGGAGACGGCCGGCATCTCCCAACCCCGACGGCCGTGCGCTGCCTCCAGCTTCAGAAGCAGGATGCCCGCGCACACCACTTTCGGGGGAGCATGGGTGCTGCTGCCCTCCTCTGGCCAGCCCAGACAGACCCTTCTTCTGGTCCAGCGGGGCTCTTCTCACGGTCCTATTCTGCCGCCGCCCTGGCTCACCGACGGAGCCCGGGAGGCAGCCTCCAGGCCCGACGTCCTCAACTTGTCCTCCCATGCTTGCCCACCGCTTCCTCCATCTTTTTCCTTACTACCAGAAGCCCATTAACGGAGGAGAGGGAAGGGCTGCAGAATGCCTTGCGATGCGCAGGGAGGGGAGCAGTCCGTCCCCCTGGCTGCACCCACAGCTGGCGCAGGAGGCAGCGCAGAGGGGCCTGGGCCAGCGCCCGATCACCAGCCCGCGCTTTGCCAGGGGACTGGCCAGGACTGCTTCTCAGAAAGGGGCAGGCGATGCCAGGCAAACAGTGGGAGTCAGGAGGTCCAGCTCTATTGCCCATTTCTGACAGAAAACTAGAACTTTGTTCTTAATGGACTTGGACAGTCCCGTTCCCTGGAGCCCCGGAGTGAGGCCAGTTCTGAGGAAACGCTGCCCTCGGTCCCACACAGCCAGCCCACGGGGGCTTGGCGCAGCGCGCATGGATGCAGGGCAGACTACAAAGAGCAAGTGGACAAAGCCCTCCTTGTCGGACGAGGGAGGCTGCTCGGAACACTGCCTGACCGTCAGAGCGAGATCCACGCCACTCCGGGGCGGCCAGCTCAACAGCCACCCCACCGGGAGAGCCTCTGCCCCACAGAGGAAATGAATGGCTGGCCTTCTGGAAGGAACCCAGCCATGCTGCTCTCAGAGAGCGGCGCAGGCACGTGGGCGTGCACATGCGAGCCGGACAGCCGCAGCGGCCCCACGCAGGACTGGTGGCTGGGACATGGCACAGAATTCAGCCTCTCCGGATCTCAGCCTCACTCCGAAAGCACATGTTTCTAGCCCATATGACTGCTGGGACAAAGCACCCGACCATTTCTGACAAAGGGCACAGCCAAGCTGCAGCCCCTGGTGCAAGTAGCCAGAAGGCCCTAGTACAGACGCCCTCTCCTGACTGCCTTAACTAATTTTCTGCAGTAAGAGAAAGGATGGAAGCAGCAGTGGAGAAGCACAGGGAGGGCCTCAGGTGGAGACAGCAGCATCCGCCCCCACCCCGCAAAGGGCTGCGAGGAGGGAGGGCGGCAGTAGGGCAAACTTTGCTAGTTGCACACGCGACTTAAAGGATCTCTGAGAGACACCACTGGGGGGCTGCGGCCCCCCAAGAATGCCAGGAGACGTTCCACCTTTTTCTTCCTAACAAATCCGACGGGGTTGGAGAAAGCAGCAGCAGCCCTGGGATCGCACAGGAGGATGCTGAGCAGCGGCGCCTGCGTCCCCCCGCATGAGGCAGGCCAGAAAGTCTTGCCCAAAGGCACCCCGCGTGCCAGTGGCCGAGGCATCGCCCCTCTGTGCCAGTCCAGGGGACGAAAGCAGCCTCCTGCCCAAGAGCGGATCTGGGCCGGGTTAAGACTGGTCCTCATGATCCGAGTCATTCAAGGATGCCTGATGCTCAAATGGCACAACTTGCCAATGCAGCCTGTTCAAAAATGGAAGACGCGAGACTGGCCGGAAATTATCCAGCAGTGGGACCCACAGAGGGTTTCCCCACAAAGGTCTCGCAAAGCTGATGCCAAGGCTGATGAAAGCACATCCTCCCCCCAGGAGCCACGCGCCCCTCCCACTGTCTTCACTCGCTCAGCCAAGCCTCCTCTGTGGTTTCAATCAGCCAGGAAGGACAAAGGCCAAGCACGCAAGCTACCAATCTCACACCTGAAGGCCCACAACCTATGATGAGGCTCCAGAGCAGGCAGGCTGAAGCTCAGCTGTGTGCACAGGACGTGACACCTGCCCCCCCCCCACTAAAGCCTTCAGGGGGCCGGAAGCAATGTGAGAAGCAGCCAGGCTCTCCCAACACGGTGGGGGTTCCCTGGCGCTCCCGCGGCCCCCCTTCCGTGCAGTGCTCCAAAGGGCTCTCCTGAAGCCAAGTTCCAGCCGGAGCTCGAAGCTGCCACATCTGGATCGGGGTCAAGGGCTGGATGAGGGCCAGCAAAGGGGGACTCCACAGAGGTGCTGTCTGTGGGTGGTCCCCCCATCCCGCTGGGGGATGTTCAACCTGTCCTGGATGGGGCTGCGCTGCCCCCAGAGGCAAGGTTCATACCTGGCAGGGAAAGCCTAGCTGCCGTGAGCCCTGCTCTGAGAGCCCCTCGTGCGCGTTGCCACATGCGCGGCACACGGGGCTGCCTTCCAGTGTCCGGAGACGCCAACTCACCCAGGCGGGGCAGCAGGGCCGTTAAAGGGGTCTGGCTGACGGGAACCGGGTGTGCCAGTCCTCTTCCGGCTGCACTGGCTGCTGGACGCAGTCCAGGCCCAGTTCAAAGCGCTAGTGCCAACAGTGCCAGCCCCAGGCGATTTGGGGCCGGACCTCTCGGATGATCCGACCCAGACCCTGAGGTCCTCTTCGGGGCTCCTTCTCCGGGAGCCCCTTCCAAAGGAAGTGAGGCACGTGGCTACCGAGGGGGGGGGGGGCGGGGGGGGTTGGTTTTGGCATGACCTCAAGGAACTGCACCTGGCACCTATTTTCTATTGTTTTTGGTGCCAGGTAGAGACTTTTTATTTTTCCAGCATTTTAACAGGTTTACTTTTTAACTTGAGCTTTAATATTGCAATTTATCCTGTACCGAAATTGCTGTGGTTTTGATGTTTTATGTTAATTTTTGTTGTCTGTGGTTTTAACTTTTGCTAACCGCCCAGCGAGTCTCTGCTATTGGGTGGGATAATCACAAAATAAGCCGAGCTCCTAGGCGTGCCCT